TCTTTTTGTGTCTCTTCTGACTGGAGATCGCGTAACTTGGTTACACTTGGTTCTCTGCTCAGGTCTGGGAAATTCTGATTATCTTTTGGAAAATTGTTTCTATGCCTGTGTTGTTGTGGTGGTGCGCTGGGATTCCAATAATTCTAATGTTAGATTTCCTAATTGAATCCCACGTTTCTTTTTGGGTTTGTTCACTTTTCTTTGTTCTTTTCTCCTGTTTCTCTTGAGACTTGATGAGTTCAGTTATTTTATCTTCTAATTCAGATATTCTATCTTCTGCTTGTTTGACTCTATTGTTGAGTGTTTCTCTTGCTGTTTCTCATTCAGGTATTTTATTCTTCAGTTCCAGTAGTTCTCTTTGTTTTTGTTTTTGTTTTTTTCATGTTTTCAAATTCCTTTTTGAATCTTTCATTTGTTCCTCCATTTGCTGCATGAACTTTGCTAGTTTGTTCACTGTGTGATTTTTCCTTTCTTTAAACATATTTAACACCATAGTCTCAAAATTATCAATTCTTTGCATTATTCTGGGCTCCATAGGAGAGATAGCCTCTTCTTCATTTTTTGCTTTTGAGTGTTCCTTCTTCTCTTGTGCTATTGTGTTTTTTTTTTTTTACCAGTTTTTGTTGAACTTGAGCCATTTTGCTATCTTTCTTTTCTTTAAATTTTTTATTCTGTTCACTGTGGGAAAATTTTCTGGTTGTGTTTTCTGGTGGGAGAGCATCCAGTTGTCTGGTTGCCAACTGAAAGGCCAGGTCTGCACCCAGCCATTCACATAGAAGAAAGATGCAGCAGACCACTCCGTCCAAGATTTGCAGGCCAGGAAATCCCAGGAGGCAATAGGCCCACAGGCCCCCAGGTTCCCGGTTAGAATTACTCAGTGGCAGCAAGTACAATCTTCTCTTCTGAACCACTGGATGGCACTCTTATCTTTCGTTCTCCGCAACCCACCCCACCCCCGGCCAGTTGATTCAAGAGACCCGTACGCTTGGGCTCTGGGATTCAATATGCATGTGCGGGAGGGGTGGGGTTTGCTGGACACCTAGCTGATGTGCACAGTGAGGATGGACTTTACTGTGGCGACAGTGAGGGGTTTTTTTAGTCTTTCCCTCACTGGCGCCTCTGCACTGGCACTATCACTACCCACAGTATCCCGCCTGGGGCCTCCTCCTGCTTGCCTGCCAGTCTGGACAATTCTCCTCGCCCTGTTTGCAGCTCTTTCTGGTCCTAGAGCCCCTTAGTTTCTGGCCTCAGCGAGTTCAACAATACTGTCAGGCAGTGTCAAGATTTTCTTTCACCCCCTCCCACTTGCTTGGCCTGCGAACTCCTACGGCTAATTTGCGTCGCTTTAAAAAAAATCTGGCTAGTGCTTCCGCAGATACACTCCCTTTCTGTGTTCCCTTCTTGAGGTGTTATCCACGCCCATTGCAAAACGGCTGTGATGAGCGCATGCTCCTGATGTTAGCGGGTAGGATCTCAGTTTCTGTGTTGAGCCTGTTCCTTCTCTCCCCTGCTTCTGGACTCACTCCAATTCTTCCATTCTTCAGCTGCTGTCTGGAATTCCAAGATCTCAGTCTGTGCTTGTTTTTATTTGTTGTTCAGTGAATTGGTTGCTGGGGAGTAGATGGGAGCATCCATTTACTTTGCCGTCTTGCTCCGCCTCCCTCTGCCATCTTTAAGTACATCACAGCCTTATCCTTGTTCACCAACTGCCATGCTTCTCTGACTTACTCTGAACAGGATCAGCAAAGATAGATGTTAATTTTTTTTTTTAATTTTTCAATTAAAAAGAATATTAAGCTTCTTAACCCTGCTCATTTTTCTCAGATGACTTGGCAAAGCTATGGGGCTCAAGTTAGTATTCAAGGTGTAAAGTCACCCTTGGAAAATCCTTTATGTGGACCACAAAAATAGATGATAATAGGTCCAACACAGCCAGCTTTCCCTGGTTCTTTCCAGAAAAGAACAATGTTTCTTTGGTTGAGCATCCAATGAAGCAATTGATTTACATTCAGGGAGTCATAAAAAAATATATATTCTGAATTTTTAAATATTAGAACCTTCAGCAAATCCTAGGGTGAGACACTCACGCTATGAGACACCCTCAGAAGCAAGGTCTGCTGAGGAAACAGATGTACTGCCCCCTCTTATGTTAACTTGTGGCATAACTAGTGGGATGGCCGGAATCCCTATTGAAATTGTGCTTTTATTTCTCTTCTTTACCTTATGTAGAGTCGAGTGCATATAAGCTAAATGGAAGTGTGAGGTGATTCCACCGAGGTTGCCTTTGTCCAGTCAAAGGAAACTGACCATGTACCTATCATCCCTCTTTCCAACTGACTATGATGGGCTTTAAACCCTAAATTGTTCTCTGACCTTGGTTAAGCGCTAGGCTGTTAACCAAAAGGTCGGCATTTTGAACCCACCAGCCACTCCAACAGCAGAAGAAATATAGGGCAGTATACTTTCATAAAGATTACAGCCTTGGAAACCCTATGGGGCAGTTCTGCTCTGTCCTATAGGATCACTGTGGGTCAGAATCTGCTTGATGGCAACAGGCTTATCAGCCACAGAAAAATAGCCCCACCACCCATTCCCTTGTACCTGTTGGCAGGCACCATCTCACAGCTAGTCCCAGACATCTAATCAAATCTGAAGTTATCTATCTTTAAAGTATCTTTTTAGAACAAAGATTAAATTCCTGAGGCCAAAATTCAAATCTAAACTATAAGGCTGCTAGCTTTAAAAAAAAAAAAAATCTATCTTCAAATTATAGAATATCCTGAAGACAAGTGGTGCAAGCAGATCTCCCTGGAGGACCAACTTATACAAGGCAATGAGTGTGAGCTCGTGCCATCTTTCAGACAGATTTGGCATCTGTCTCCTTCAGAAGGGTTTAGGCAGCATCTAGCCCAGTTCCAGACATGGCTAGGTGTTCCATAAGGGATGTATGAACAACTAACCACCCTATGGTGAGCCCGTATGCATTAATTTGGTGCTATTCTAGGTCAATAGGATTCCTGATTGGCAAGAAATTTGGATTGAGGAGTAAACTAATGAATTAGGAGCTATGAACTTTAATCCTAATTTTGCCATTACTTTGCTGACTTCCATGCAAGACTTTATATCTTGGCTTTTCTCATCTATGAAGTTGAGAGAAAAAAGATCTGCAAAAGTGCATAAAAAATGAAAGAAAAGAACAATGAAACACTTAGTGGAGACGTACTGCATTCCAAACGTGAACAGGAGAAAAGTGAGAACATTTGCATTCATCTGCATAACCACAAGGAGGGTCCCTCTGGAATCTCATGGTTGACTTTTCCAAATCCATTTGGCTCCAAGTACCAGGTGAAGGACATAACTGAGCATGAGTACATAAAAATATTCAAACAATAACCACTTGCAAGTGTGGCAGAGTAAGCAGTGAGAAGGAATAGGATCTTGTGTCAAGTAGGAGCAGCTGGTGACATGTTTTAGTGATGAAGGCACTAGGAGCCTAGAGAGTTCCTGTGAGCTCTAATCCCATCCCTGCCACATCACAACTGTGAAACTGAGCAACTCACTGAAGCTCTCTGAGCTCCAGTTTCCTGACTCGTAAAATATTCAAACAAACTGCCCTGCCAGTAACTCTGGGGTTGTTGTGAATTTCCAACAAGGTTAAACATGTAAATGAATTCTGGGAACTGTGAGTGTTAGGCCAGGTGAGGAGTTATTCTTTTATCCCTTCCTCAGGTAGGAAACATGAGGGCACCAAAAATATCATGAACCTTCTGATAGATCATTAAGAAGACAACTAGCTCCAACACCCACAATCTAACTATACCTTAAGAGGCAGAAGAACATAGTTGTCAGTGGTTTGGGTTCTGGAGTCTGACTGTCTGGGTTCATAATCCCAGTTCAGACTTGGTACAAGTTACTTACTTTGCTGTGTCTCAGCATCTTCATCTATAAAATGTAGATGATGGCAATATTACCTCACAGAGTTGTAAGAAAGATGAACTGTTATATGTTAATATACATGAACAGCTTAGAACACTTCATGGTTCATAGAAAAACATTCAATAAACATTAGCATATTTCTATGTTTGACTCTTTATTAAGAAATATTTCAGAAATATTTAAACATTCTAAAATAATTGAAGAATAATAACAGCACACCCACAACAAGCATAAGCTATAAAACATTACCAATACTGTTGAAGCTGCTGTATACCTTCCCCAATCATATTCCCTCTTGTCCACCTAGAGGTAACTGTGCTACTGAATTTGGTATTTATCATTCCCATGCATTTCTTTGGACTTTTACTCCATCTGTATATATCTCTAACAATGAGACTGAATCGAAAGTATCTCTAAGTCAGGACTGACGGCTCCTCTGTTGTATGAAGCATAGTATGAAGTCCCTGGGTGGTGCAAACAGTTAACACGGTAGGCTGCTAACTGCTAACAGAAAGACTGGAGGTTTGAGTCCACCCAGAGGTACCTCAGAAGAAAGGACTGGCAATCTACTTCCAAAAAATTTCAGCCACTGAAAATCCTATGGAGCACAGTTCTATTCTGACATACATGGGGTCGCTATGACTCTGAATCAACTCGATGGCAACTGGTTAGGCATAGTATCTCATTTAGCACAAACTGTTGCTTTGCAAACATACTCTCATTTGTCACATTGCTATCTGTGTCTTTTCACCTCCCTATGCTAGGAATATCGGAGACCTGGTGGCGCAGTGGTTAACAGCATGGTTGCTAACGAAAGGTCAGCGGTTGGAATCCACCAGCCATTCCTTGGAAACCCCATGGAGCAGTTCTACTCTGTCCTATAGGGTCGCTATGAATCGAAATTGACTTGACGGCAACGGGTTTGTTTGTTTGTTGTATGCTTATATTTCCAGGGTGGACTACCTAATGATCCAAGACATAAATTAAATCTCCTATTAATGGGTCTGTACTTGTCAGACCCCTCACCCCACTATTTGCTGATACCTTCCTTTTCTCCTTTCCAGACAGCGATGCGGTTGCAGGACCAGCAATTGGCCAGACAGCTCATGCACCTGCGCAGTGACATCAATAAGCTGAAGATTGAGCAGACCTGCCACCTTCACAGGAGAATGCTCAATGACGCCGCCTATGAGCTGGAGGGGTGGGACGAGCTGTCTGACCTCTTCTGCGACTCCCCTCTTGCCTCCCCCTTCAGTCTCTCCACTCCACTCAAGCTCATTGGCGTCACCAAGATGAACATCAACTCCCGAAGATTCTCTCTTTGCTGAGAAGCCCTAAAAGGGAGCAAAAGAGCCAAAGCAGGAGTTTAGAGATGGGGGGATTACTTGGCAAGGAAGTTGAGGTAGAGTTACCCTGAGTGGATCTCCCCAGAGGCAGGGCACCAGAAGACCAGACCTGCAGCATTTCCCTGCAACTGGTGAATCATGGACTCCCCCAGGACGTGTTGGAAGATGCTGTCTCAGGGGCTCCATCTGGGGGACACTAGCATTCCTATGACTGGCTCTTCATTTAATACCCAAAAATTCTGCAGAAGGGCCACTCCAACCAGATGAGAAATGAGAACTGGGTTCCCAGCATGATCCATCACAGTCCTGCCCTCAGACACCCACGGTCCTGTTCTCGGAATAACTGGTGCTATGAACTGGGACCCTAAAGGGAGGGTACCCCATAGGCTGTTACTCTTGAAGAAGGCTCCCCCAGTGGCACTGAGACCCCAGGAGATAAGGTGATTAGATATGTTAGACGTGCCCATTGCCATGTTGCTGTCCTCTAAGTACTTGCTCAAATTCACCCTAAATAGATAACTCAGCAACCCTGAAAGGGACTCACTAGGGACGGAAAACCAAAAGGAATAGCACTGTGAAGCTTGGGGATGGAGGCTCCGTGGCCGAGCATCCAGTTCCCCAGGAGAGCACATGATCCAGGCAGCTGTCAGCCTTTGACTTTGGCACTACAAAGCCATGCCAAATGTTTCCAAGTATGTCAGTACATGTGATGGCCACACATGAGTGTAATTTGGGAAAAACAAGCATAGACCCCTATTTGCCTCCCCTGGGCACATATACCAGTCAGAATCTCCAAAGAGCCCCTTTGCTGCCACTCCACAACCCTGAGGAGTGCCTAAGAGACTCTTGGTGACTGAAGAAGGCAGAACTGTAAATGGATTTCCCATAATTCTCCTGTTGAGAGATGGTGTCACCTACATAACCTTATTGCCTTCCTAGAAATACAATCAAGAGAGCTCACAGCTTGTCTTGAGCCTCCTCTGAGATTCTGTGCCTAACAACTGACTTTATCTGAACCAGACGGTTACTAATCTGTTGCGAATTTGTAACCAACTTATTTTTTCCCAAAAGGGGGAAACCAGTTGGGTAGGTCAAATATAGAGATTTAGGATTTGATTTTAAGAGTCTCCCTAACAACAAATTGAAAGCTGAAACCTCAACAGATTAGGAAAATTAAGCTGATGTAACACCACATGGCAGGAGGATCCTCTGCCAACCTAGTATAATCATAAAATCAGGGGAGTTTTGACCTTTGATGTCATTTTGACCTTTGATGTCATCTAGTCTTGCCCTCTTGTTCATAAAGGAGTAAACTAAAACCCAGAGAAAGAAAATGACTTCCCTTAGGTTACACAGCTGTTTAACAGCTATAGAATATTGATGTGTTTAATCATTAATAATCATGCCTAGACAGACCATTTATCACTGAACTTGAGCCCTGAAGATGGCCCTAATGCTTTGCCAAATCCTCAAACTGCCAAACTCCCTACTCTCCACCTCACTCAGCTCCCACCCACTCCCCTACTTTGGAATTCAGAATATTCAGTTCAAGCTAAGAGCAATGCCTGGACAGTGGACCCAAGGGACATGTAGTAGACCTACAGGACATGCATCACTATCCCATAGTCCAGCTGCTCTGCCTTCATGTTTAGCCTTCCTGTACGATCTCGTGCATGCATACACACACATATAAAGGAAAGGTTACTTTTCTTTTGTGGGCTGGGAGTAGGAGGATGCAAATGAATAGTCCCTAGTTAGCAAAGAACTTGGTCACTTCCACGTTGTTTCTAAGAGGGTTTATGCTTCCTTCAAAGAAGGTCAAACAAAGTAGCCAAAATTTGTTTTCCAGCCCTAACCTGAGCAATGAGGAAAGTCTGAGGCCCAGAGGACTCCATAAAGAGGAACTCACTGGAGAGCCAGGCCCCCTCCAGGCCTTTTCTCCCTCGTGCAGAAAGGGAGGGAGAGTTCTTTGCACTGAGCAAAGTCTCTCCTTAGGAGTTATGTACAAGCACTGCCAAGTCTGAAAGTAGCACTCCTGCCAGAATTTAAGAATGTGCCATTGAGGTAGTGGGGTATCCACCCCGGCCTACATGCACTTACCCACTTTCACTGAAGAGAACACACACATTAATATACTGGAACCTACACAGTAAATCATATTCTAAAATTTGAACCAATCTTTTAATTTTAGAAATCAGTCATTATAGTAACTGAAAAAAACATGGATTCAACTAAAGATGAGCAATTTACTTGCTCAGTTAGCCTAATGTTTTCTTTCTTTCTTTGTTTTTAGAGAGGAAATTAATATCAAGACACAATTATTTGGATAGGTTAGATATCTCAGCTAGTCCAGCCCAAGTGAATTTTATTTGGGATAAGGAGGGGAAATATAAGGGGGTCAGAGAAGAGAAAAGGAGGGGGAAAGACAGGCTTAAGTTTTCTTACTCACAATCCATCGCCTGTTAGTACCCTTACCTTCCACAGGGAACACAAACAACTAACCAAGATAATTCAGTTTCGAGAAGTCACTGCTTTGTGTGGGCCAATAGATGTCTATGGGTCTCAGCAATGCTGGCCTAACCTTCTCTGCCAACTTCCCTAGGCAATTTTCTGGCTTACTATATGTATACAATATTGTTTGTAGCTGTACTCATTATCTATCCATCTCTCTGCCATCCCCAAGTACCCCCTGGGTGTACACCATGAAGTCTCTATTGGTACTGCCGTGTGTGGTGATGTCTGATGCCTTTATGAGTTCAGTAGCAATCACAAAGGCCTAGAGCCTTGGCAGGTTTGACAATAGTCTCGCCTAGCCTAAGGCCTGCTCCCTATATTGTCTAGAAATACCAAGTGCTATTACATAATTGATGGAAAATTTATAATTTTATTTTTATGATTTTTTTCTATATTACTGTTAGAAAAAGTGTAATAAAAATGTTTCAAAAGAAGATATTCATATAAAGAGGAAAAATTTGCATTATTTTAGTTTGTCTCTGTTATAGCACACACAGTAGGCACAAGCACTTAATAAAGAGAGGAGGAAAGGGAGGGAGGGAGGAAGGAAATAAGGAAGGAGGAGAGGAAGAATAAATTATTTGATCAATCAACAGCTGAACGGAGGCATGGGAGAGAGGAAAATATTCACCAAAATCACACTTCTTCCTTTTTTGTGTCTTCCCCTAAGGCGGGCTGCTTGGTGATTGTTGCCATTTAGGAGCTTCACAGAGTGAGCTAAGTGAGCTCAAAATGTGGTGGTGAGAGACTAAACCATTATTTCTGATTTTGGCCTACATCAGAGCCAAACCAAATCTATTTTTTCCTCTACTAGTCCTTTCCAAATGTGATAGATAATATTACTATACTCTGAAGACAATTGGTGCCTTAAAGGGTTTTATTCTCTTAAAGCACTGGTCCTCAAAATGAAGTGTGCGTGAGACTCACCTAGGATGCTTGCTGCAAACGCATATTCCCAGGAAAATCACTAGACCTCACCCCAGGGATTTTGGTTCTATTGGTCTAGAGTGGCGCCTGGGAACCTACTTTTAATGAACACCCCAGGTGACCCTGCTGCAGGTCAGACACTTTAAGAAACACCTAAAAAGGACAAAGTGGGCAAGGAGAAGCATTGTTTTTAGTTGATCCTATCAGTGTGTTCAAAAGAGGAAAAGATTAATGCAGGTGTTAGTATTCCCATTTTATAGAAGGAGTAAGTGAAAGGAAGCTCTCTAGCAGTCCCTTGGGGATTATATCACCTGCCTAAACCAAGAGAAAAGGACATCATGTTTGGTAAAGTAGAGGGTCAGCAAAAACAAGTGAAACCCTGAATGAGATGGATTAACACAATAGCCCCAACAATGCACCCAAACATACCACCTGTCATGAGGATGGCACAGGACCAGGCAACATTTTGTTCTGTTATACATAAGGTCACCATAAGTCGGAACCCACTAGGTGGCAACTAACAACAACAAACCAAGAGACTGTGTGACTATGATCTACTTCTTGCAAAGAGCACACAGTATTAACTGGCCATTTAGAATGTGGGCTATGAAGTGATAGGCAGAGCAGGCACTCCAGCAGTGGTCTCCACCACCCACCATTGACCATCTGTTTCAAAGGGCACTCAGGAGGCCATTTGGCCCTTGCACTCATGCAGATAGGACTACATATACACTTTCTCAGTCCAGAAGGGAAACTACCCTAATTTGGCCTCCAAACAAATACTTTTAAGTTCCATAGAGAAGATGAAAAGTGACTACAGTGTAATTGTGTGTGTGGGGGGGGGGGCTGCTTCTCAGAGAAGGCTTCTCAGAGAAGATGATATTTCAACTGAAACCACAACAATGCAAAGATGAGGAAAAAGAGTGTTCCAGACAGAAAAACAAGTACCAAGGTTCTGAGGCAGGATGGAGCTTGGCCTGTAAAGGGACAGCAAGGAGGCCAGTGCAGCTGGAATGGAGAGGTGGTGGGAGGTGAAGCCAGAGAGATTGGCAGGGCCAGGCCATGCCAGCCTGGCAAGTCAGAGTAAGGAGTTTTGATTTTATTTGGGTTGTGCAGGAAGTTATTTGAGGTTTTTGAGCTGGGGAGCGATACATGATCTGATTTAACCTTTAGCAAGATCTTCTTACTGCTGTGTAGAAATTAAGGGAGGTGGGGCACAAGTGGAGGAAGGAAAACCAGTTAGGAGATGATTGTAGTACACATGGCAGTATCTTGGACTGGGGTAGTAGCTACGGAGGAGAGGAGAAATGATCTGATTTGGGATATACTTGGGGGCATACTTTGAATTATACTTTGAAGGTAAAGCTGATAGGACTTACTGATAACTTGGATGTAGAATGTGAAGGAAATAGAGAAATGGATGGTGGCCCTTTTGGCCAGCAGCTAGAAGGAGAGTGGTGCCATTTACTGAGATGGAGAAAGTTTAAGGGAAGCATTGTTGAGGGTGGAAAGGCAGCATCAATAGGTCTGTTTCAGCCATG